CACAGCTGGAGTTCCGAAACCAGGAAGGAAAAGGAATCATACTGGATACGCCGCCTTAGAACATTGAAACCAAGCGGTCTAAACTAAGAAGACCAGAAAATGAAAACAATGCCTAGTAGAATTTAACATTTTCTAAATCTTTTTTTATCCTTCAATTTTTACTATAAGAATAACCCGTATAGAATCAAGTATCCGGGATATAATCTGCGTTACATAAATGTATAAAAAGTACAAATAGATGTCGTTTTGGCTTGTAGACTTTTAGGGAATTATACACCGTTGTCAGTTGCCGCCACTAGTCTATACAAGCTGGTTGTATTTATAGTTTTAACACATGTGGAGACAGCCATGTAGAGGTTTACAAACACAAGGTTTTTGTGTTTATTTGTTTGTCGAATATGTTTTGTATTTGCCTTTGAAAAAGACTCATTAAGAGTCGAAAACGCTTAGGCTAGTTAGTTACTAGTTTCGTACTGTTCGTCTTCAGTTTATTTCATCTATTTTAATCAATCCCTGACACACGTGATCCCTTGGTGGATCCAGTAAGCTTGAAAGGGTTGTTATTCGCCATATGATTTGTATTCTTTATATGACAGATTTGTATGTGTTTATGTGCACTCCCGGTGTGTTGCAGATGTGGATTTTTTTTTAATGGAATTTTGAAGACCCAATTTTACTGGGGTATTTCTTATCCTTAGTGTATCTAATGAGTTACCTCCCTTTCTGATTTTAATCATCAGGTTGGGTAGCTGCTTCAGCCTTTTTTCCGAGGTGAACCTTGCCTAAGGCCTAAGGGTTGCCTATGTCCGGTATATCCTATGTGTATATTGCTATATTGTATGTGTGCTATACATGTGTATATGTAAGGACCGCATCTTAAACCAAATTACCAAATTACTAAAAGCTTGTATATATATATATATATATATATATATATATATATATATATATATATATATATATATATATATATATATATATATATATATATATATACATACATGCATACATACATACATACATACATACATACATACATACATTCTGTTAATTATGTAGATTTTTGAATTTCGTATCAGAAATGTTGTAAGTTTTCCAATATTAAAACCTACTGTTTTAGTGCTAGCTTTTTTCATTTCCCATATATAATTTGAATATTGGAGGCTGCTCATTTGGCCGGTTTGCAAAGAGCCACGAGTCTTTATTTGAAACTGACTCGCTTCTCTTGTCATGGCTGGGCCTTACTCCATTCACTCCATGAATTACTAGATCCAAGTAGAAAATTTCTAAATGTGCAAATATAATATTCATTAAATTTATTAGTACCTTTGTTTTTTTCCATTGGAATCCTTTGTTTTAAAATGTATCCTCCTATTGTTATGTACTATTTGTCCATGTCCAGCACATGCATTTTTCAGAGGCTTCTCCACCAGCCTTCCCACTTTGTGTAGCGCCTTGTGGTTTCGCCCGGTGGCCTTATTGTCTCCTACTTCATACAGATGCAGATTCCCTGTCATAAAAAAACAAATGTACACTATACGTTACTTTTAATCATATTAGTAGTTCTAGGATTCCATGCCTATGGATTGATTAGTAATTTTAGTATAAAAAATTATGTGAAAACGTTTTATTTCTGAAGTTGAGGGATCTATGTTGTGGTCTCTAATTTTTAATTTGTCGGCATTGTTTCATTGCATTACCTATAAAACTAATTATTTCAAACAATGTCTTTTCCACAATTTCTTATCTAAATATAAAAGGATATTATTACTATATAAAGTTTTCTCTGATATTAAATTACCAATTTTATCTCTGTGTGTTTTGATCATTTTACATTCAGTTATCACATGTTTGTTTTGTGGCCCCGAGTCGCCGAGTTGTCTAAAGCGCTATCCGTTACGGATCACTGCCATCTCACCTCTGCGTGGGTTCGAGTCTAGGATTCGGCGAATGTGGATATGTGAGAAAGCTTGCCATTAGCTTCTCGTGGGTCGATGGTTCTTTCCGGTGATTTCCCGGTTTCTTCCTCCACCATTAATACTGGATTCATGAATAGCCTATCGTGTGCTGAAAAATGGCGTTAAGCACAACAACAACAACAACAACAACATGTTTGTTTGTAAAATATGTTGTTTTACAAAGAGGGCATTTTAGTATAGTCTTAATCATTTTTCTCCTCTTTGCCACCTCATCCGTCAACCACACATTATGTAGAAATTTAAAAAGTATGTTTTGTAATTTAGGTGAGTTGATATTGGCCCAATCTTTCCAGGTGTTATTCCAATCAATTCCCCAGTTTTCCCTTTCAACTTTGCATTTTGCATTCGTTGTATAATAGTTTCTTAGTATTGTATAAATATTTTTATCTCCTTCCCATATTTCTTTTTTATTCTTAAATTTTGCAATCAAATCTTTGAAGTAAACAAATTTTCTCTTAATGCTGATATTTTTTGTTGTTGTTAATTTATTATTTGTAAAAAATTCCTTTCTATTGTTCATATAAAATCCAAGCCAATATATGTATAGAGCTTTCCTATGGCGTATTAGGAGTTTCATTTAACTTTACTAAATGATTTAGAATATTTGTTCCTGTTTCCAGAAAAAGTTTGGTAAAGGTATTTCCCCTTTGTTATTTTCCCGGTATAATGTATCCTTTTCTTCGAAATTTAATTTAAAATCCCATACATAATTTATAATATCGTATATAGACTATCAAATAGAAAATAGGTTAGGATACGTTCAGCCGACTAAAGATTTGCACGATTTATCTGGAAGAATGTGATTTCAATCAGCTAACGAAGCCCAACTTCAGATTTAGTTGTGAATGGAAATTTGTAGGCATTGCTTAACTCTGATGCCCAGTCATGGCTTCAGTGGTCGCAAATAAATGTAAGCGTATTTGTGGTAAAATGCTTAATACTGTGGACGGAAATAATAATAATAATAATAATAATAATAATAATAATAATAATAATAATAATAATAATAATAATACAGCGATCTATACAAGGTGGTGAATTTCATTGTGCGAGTAAGCGTCGATGTGAAAAGCCTGTTAGACGTGACGCAGAACATAGCGTTGGACTTATACAGGATACAGGACATCACCTCTACTACTTAAGTCAAAGGTTTCACCGAAAAGGATTTATAGTTTATAACACACAGAGTATTAAAAATTACATTTATTATTATTGAGTATTGAAGAATATATGTATTATTATTTTCCGTAATATGTTACCTTTGATTTGGGTATTTTATTTTATTTCTTATTTTGCTTTTTTTTAATGGATAGAAAATGTTTTGCTGAACAGATATTTTCTAGCAAAAATGCAGAAGGTGTGTGTCAGTAAAAAGAAAATAATATCGTTTATATTTAGCTTATTTTCAAAGCTTATTTTGTTAATTGTTTTTCGTTGTAACAGCAACACGATATCCACATAAGTTGTAAAATAGCATGCCAATTATTTACCAACTTTGGAACTTAATTGTCGCGGTTAATATTCCATGTTCCTTGAAATTAATTCATTTTCGGCCAGAATAACGACCTTATATGTTATATTAACGTAGAATTATTGTTTGCTAAAATAGCTCTTATAAAAAATGAAAGTTTTGCATAGCTTTGAACTCAATAACTATCTCGATCAGAAAGGAATTTCTAATTTCTTATACATTTAGCAGCGGGATGTTATGATATTAACCTTTTTTTTCAATTTGGCATACATATTTCATAAGATATTTTCAAGTTTCTTCCCTGAGCGTGTTTTGATAACCGCAAAGAACCATATCAATTAATGTAAGAATAGAGAATAGTAGCAGAAACAGCCTGGCTGAATGTGTTCTTTTTACCCCCTATGTTTGGACGCCCTGGTTTGCATTAATTGTTTGACGTGCATTACTCGGTTATTAACTTTACTTAACATATTCAAATAAACCCACAACTCCATTTTATGACGACAATTACTATTTTCAGTGGCTTTAGAAAATATCAATCAAGAGTCTAGCTGTGAGTTCACCTGCTTCAGTAGAAAATTGAAAGTAAACTTTCTTTTTTATTGTTGTTTTATTTTATTATGGAAGGTTTGGGGTATTTTATTCAGATTAAGAGGGAATATTAGTTTGGCATGGCTTATCACGTATATAAAATATATGTTAAAATATAATTTAAAATATTAATTAATTAATAATATAATATATTTTTTTCAGGTTTGATACAAGATGAATTAGAGTATATAATTAAATATACAAAGATGTTTTGAAATAAATTAATAGAAATAGATAGAACAAAGGTTTCTAGACATATATGTGTTTGCTGAGAATGGACTGTTAAGCCGGGGAAAATTGCCGATAATGTTGAGATCTCCGATAACGTCTTCCTCAATAATGTGGATATCCCCGGTAATGCGGATGTCCCAGATAATGTGGAAATCCTCGGTAATGTGGAGATCCCAGATAATGTGGATATCCCCGGTAATGTGGAGATACCAAATAATGTGGATATCCCCGGTAATGTGGAGATCCCAGATAATGTGAATATCCCAGGTAATGTGGAGATCCCAAATAATGTGGATATCCCCCGTAATGTGGAGATCCCAAATAATGTGGATATCCCCGGTAATGTGGAAATCCCAAATAATGTGGAGATCATCGGTAATGTGGAGATCACAAATAATGTGGAGATCATCGGTAATGTGGAGAACTCTGATAATGTGGATATATGTAGCTCACAAATATTCCAATATAATGTTTAAAAGTCGTAAACGGCGCCAACTATATAAGATCCATAACTTGTTTTTTTTTTCATAGAATCTATTTATTAGTTAGATAAAGTTATATACTTTTCCCGTTTCCTTTTGTCTGGTTATGCAAGTTCGTCCCTATTTTTTATGCCATGAAAGCATTTATAAGTAAGAAACCTGTTATCTTTATTGCGTTTATAAAGACGAATCTTCTTATTCTTATATCGCTTTTAAACATGAATCTTGTTAACTTTAATAAAAACTGTTCCGGTGGCCTAGTGGTTAGAGCGTCCGCCTCGGATGCAGGAGATCGCTGGTTCGAACCCCGGCTGAATCATATCAAAGACTTTAAAATATGATACTAACAGCTGCCTCGCTTGGTGCTCAGCATTAAGAGGTTAGTGTTAGGACTGGTTGGCCTGGTGTCAGGATAATGTGACTGAGTGGGACATCATGCCACAGGTCTGCGGCATGATGCCCAGGTGGTAGACATCACTATAAACAATCACTCTGCAGACATCGTAGCAATGTGACTGAAAAATTGTTGTTTTTTTTTTTTAAAAAAAACTACGTTAAAAATCTAAATCACACACACACAAATCTTTTGTAAAGTTATATGAATTTTTTTGTATTTGTAGCTTTTATAAGTATGAAAATTGTTATCTTTTATACGGTTTGCCGTAATAATCTTTCTTTATTTCTAGCGTTTATAAATATTAATCTTTATAACGTTTAAATGAGGACTTTCAGAGCTAATGTCACATGTATGGCTCTAAACAAATGCAATTATTGTTTCATCAGAGACATGAAGTTTGAAATGATACAATTAGATGGGAAATTATATGGACGGATAGAGAGATGAATAAGTGGATATATAAATGGAATAAATGATAGGTGTATATATGGTTACGATGATGATATACAATGGTAATTGCATTTATTTTGGTTGAAAAACTATATTTTTAAGAATGTTGATACAGATAAATTTGTCATGATGTTCTCGTAAAATCACTACTTTGGACAGAAATTTATTATGACAGTTTGGGGATTTCACATTGTTGCTCGTTTTTAATGGACGTTACGAAATAAGCAGAATACATTATATTTCATGCGAACCAAATGCTAGCATAAGACTCATTGGATTGGATGAATTTTAATATATTTTGCCTTGCATGAGCACAAAGAGGCCTTCCATAAATGACGTCACGCACCTACGGGGAGGGGGTCACATTTGTGACAATGTATGACGAGGGGAGGGGTATGTTAAGAAATGTGACGTCACATCAAACAGCGCAACTTTAAGTAACAGTTCCACTTAATTTTAATTCTTAATATTTTGATTGCTTAGAATTTATTTAAGAACGTTTTAAGTAGCTTCACGAGTGCATGAACTCAAATTAAATTGGACTCGTCTTCGAACTACCAATACCCCTACTAGCCCCAATAAAGTCTTATTCCGAAAAGCATTCTTCCGTTTCCGGTCCGCTGGTGTTGACAAAACTAGGTTGAAATAATCTTATTCTCGCCAAACTTGCTTCTGCTGTTTGAGCTAGACGACGAATGTTTTCAAAGAATTTTATGCCAAATTCATCTTTTCACTGCCTCTTTTTTTAATACATGTTTTCTCCTACAATATCATAGTACAGCGCCACACTAAATATAAGCTACAATGACAATATAGTGATTTGAAACATGTTAATCTTCAGGTAAGAAATACGGCGTTTTCGGGAGGGCGGAGGTAGGTCTTTGTGACGCCATATTTAAGGTGTCTCACTTTTGTGACGACGTGTGAATAAGGGAAAGAGGGATCAAATATAAGCAAAAATCGCGTTATGTCATTTATCGATGGCGCCACATGCATCTATCTCGTGACGTAATGCCGATTTCTTTCGACGAAACCACAAAACAGTTTTGTAAAATAGAATAAAATAAATTTGATAAGATGCGATTTTCCGTAGATGATGTCATAAAGCGATATTTTTTACGTGTTACATATGGTGGCGCTCACCAGTTATTATGTACATTAGAGAGAGTGATGTCTGTAAAGTGAAGTTGTTTGCATTTAGAACATGCACAGTGGAGAGAATATTGGCATACCTCTATGCTACTTTCATGTAATGTGGCTAACATTTCTTTGGATATTGTACTTTTGGAAATTGTAATTATATTAGCACACAGCTAACTAAAATGACTTCTCTCTTGTGCTCCACAAATAAACCCAAATTTGTTTAAAGTACAAAATGCTTGGCAGCTATTAAAATAGGAAAATTGAATTTTGACTGACTAGACAATACCAGCTTCTGAAAGTGTAATGAACGAATTACCAAATATATAAAATGCGAAAAAAGTTATCGGCTCACTTTTTTTTTAAAGTTTACCTCTGAAGTTCGAGAAATGAAAATGAGCAAGTGGAGCTAGCACTTTTTTGAAAGATGCATATATATGGAGTAAGGCCAAGCTGTATACTCTCTAACCCATATTACACCCATCAATCATGCACCAAAATAAAGGGAATCAAAGGTTCGTTGAACAATACCTTAGATATGCAAAGTCTTTTTTTAATTAGCCATTATAACTAGTGAGGTAATATGGGGAAATTCTTTTTCTTTAAAATTCTAACCCTATGCTAAATACGAAACTGTGGAGCGCCACTTACAGAAAAACCTAATATGAGTATCATGACTTATATACCACGATAGTCATTCGATTAGAGATTTATATCAGCATTCAGTACCATTGACCACCAAAGTACTGAACTTATTATCTGGGCACAAATATCACCAACCCTTGTTTGTTTGTTTTTTCAAGGACTATGAACGAGAGTAATTTTGTCGTTTTTGACAGTAAATTACTTCTCTGTGTTGTGATATTTTCTTACCTTTTTTTGGAATTTCAAAATAAAGACAAGGTAGGCTTAACTTCTATGAAACAAGCTTACCTGGGTAACAAATTCAAATGTTTGTAAATTTCAGTGATGTATGCAATCTTAACAATATAAAATTTTACCCTTGATCATATACATTCTAATTATTTCGGTAGCAAACAATAAGAATATGTAGACATTTAAAATGTAATATCATTTCTTGCCTACCCGACCGATCCGGTGGTCTGAATGGTTAGTATGACCGCCTCGGATGCGAATGGTTGGGCGTTTGAACCCTGGCTGAGTCACACCAAAGACGTAAAAGTGGTACTAGCAGCTGCTTCTATTTGCGCTCAACAATAAGAAGTTAGTGTTCAGACTGGTTTGCCTTTTGTCAGGATAACGTGACTGGGTTGGACCGTATACTACCGCGGCATGGTGACCCCGTTCTGGACATACTATAAATTGGGACATTGTAGACATCGAAGCGACCTGACAGGAAAAGTATTAAAGCTACGTTAAATCTCTCTCTCTCTCTCTCTCTCTCTCCCTCTCACACACACACACACACACACACACACACACACACACACAGACACACACACACATATAATTTCTTAACTACCTACAATTTAAAAACGTTAAATATGCAAGGAGAAAAAGTGTAACCCACAATAACTTGTTGGCAGGAAGATAGAGGGCAAAGATCTGAAACACAGTAACCACAACATATCGATGCATCCGAAATCGGTCACATTCGAGACGACTTGTTTGTTTTCACAATACAAATTCAATGAAATTTACATTAAGCATTCATCAGGAATGTACTATATATATATATATATATATATATATATATATATATATATATATATATATATATATATATATATATATCCTGAAATGACCCTCATCTCTTGATGGGTCTTGCAAGTGTATATTAATTCAATAACACTCTTTTTAAAAATTGTTTATGTGGCTTCTTTTGTCCAGGTTCATACGCTCCATATCAGCTAAACTCACCTGTTGCGCATGCGTTGTCGTCAAAATTAAATTTTTCCCCTCATTGTCAGTGCCACATTCTGAAAAAATGTTTTATTGCTCTTTGTTTTAATTAATCGATAGATATTGATCACACTTATCCCCAATTTACTATGTATTCTCTCTATTCCAGCCAGGGTGACAAAATAAACACTTAGGAAAGATTATGAGATGTCATTTTGTTCAGTGGGATATTTGTGGATCTGAAGCCACACAAGTTTCTTGTTTGTTATATATTATAGCAAGCAGGTCTCAAGGAATTGTATAACTCTATTTATTTAGTAAGTATATGTACTCAGGTTTTGTTTTTGTTGTACAAAGATACCCGATGGTGATCCATGTATATTCTACATTATTTCTAAACAGTGAGTTCAGTCGATTCATTCTAAGCCGCACGTGTGAAATGCTTTCATTTGGAAAAACTTAATACATCAATTGCATGGACGACGTAAGACTACATTGTTACATCTACACATTACAGAACGTTTTGTCAGTCGGCAGTAATCTTAGAGATTAAGGAAAGTCTTGCCAGTATGGAGTAGACCCATTACAAAAGCTACTTAGTTTCAAGATGTCAGATAAAGAGAATAATTGCAGAATCAAACGAACGGAAACGAAACCGACTTTAAATTAGGACCATGGTGCAAGACTAATAAAGGAAAGTAATGAAATACAAAAGAAAAAGAATACAATATGCGATGATGAGACTCCTTCCTACTGAACAATGAAAAAGGACATATCGACTGAATTGCGATTCTGAGACTCCTTCCTGTGAGCAGGGAGAAAGGACTTTCGCCATACTGTAAGGATTAAAAGATGATTTATCACATGTAAAACGGACTTATGATAAATATTACGCAAGAAAGGTTTAAATAACTTAAACGAATGTGAAGAAACACTTATTAAACCGTTTAGTATTATTAATTGAACTTTACTAATATTATAGCTAAAGTTTTAAAATTTACTGACTATGATCAAATTGTCTAAACTAAACAATTATTCATGTATTGCTTTAACAAATTATTAAATTATTAAATTATTACTAACCTAGTTACTATTAACCATTTAATATTATATTTACGTTCAAAATTGTTATTCATGTATTAGACAAGAGACTCGTGGCACCTGAGCTAGTGTTCTCGTGATCGCGAAATCGTAGTGTGAATGCTGCTCGTGCCCAATTAAGATCTCAAATAACCTATGCGCAAAGCAGAAACAATGTAATATATATATATATATATATATATATATATATATATATATATATATATATATATATATATATATATATATATATATATATATATATTAAAAATATAAAACTATACTTAATAGAAATTAAATATGAATTAATTTAATTTAGCTTTATTTATTAAACTTTGAACTTATAGGAATTTGATTATGAATTAAAGAACAACTCCAGAAATTCAACACATTAGAAGAAATAAATAATTTTAATTGTGCACAAACCCGAACTCAATATTTAATAAAAACAAAATTTAATAAATTTGATACTAAAAGCACACACATATGGAAAACAAACATGAACACATCAAATACTTTTGTCACAAGGGGGTTACTCAAAGGATATCAATCTGAGAGTAACCACACCATTAAAAAGTTAGAGATTTGCACATCTTGAGCTGTAGAAGTAAGTTATTTATTTCCTATGTATATTGTAAGTTATAGCTATTGTACTATCACGTTTTATGTTAGTATATTTTCTCTGTAGCTTCGAATTTCGTGGTATTATGCAAATATCTTCTATTCGTGTTTGTGATTTAGCAAGAGTTTTATAAAGTTGCATTTAATTAAGAAACGGTTAGTGCTATATGAATTTTATCGGACACTTGTTCACTTCGGAACCTGATTATTGTTTAAAATGTTGTGCCGATAATATAATTTGTATAACTTGCAATACATAACGTCATTATGTGTTGTCATATATGCCTGTGTCATGCATAGTACACGGTGTTAGATTTAATTTCAGCTGATCGTAGTGATCCATACTGATCGTAGTTGACGTGGCACCAGCTATAGAGCTAACCACATAAATTGATCAATAGCGGATGTAAAGCTGAACCATAGCAGCCATAGAGCTGAGTGAAGTGTTGCTTGTCGAGTAGCAGGTGATCTGGCGTTGTTGGCCGAATAGGTGGGCATATATTGCTTGATTAACCAAGGAATTGAATGGTGGTCGGTAAGAACATAAAATGCTGATTTACATGATTAACCAGTTTGACTGGTTGTCAAGTGTGATATAGATGGAGTGTTTTATGTTACTTTTGCACGTAATCTTCTAGCCGTAGGCTGATTTTTTGGGTTTGTTATACCCAGTGTTTTGGGAGTGTAAAAGCTATTCTGTATGATATCTATACCTTTATCTTCATCATATTTGCTATTATTATAAGGTATCGCATTTTTCGCTATTTAAGTGAATATATTGTACTATACGAGTAAAGTATTTCATCATTTAACCACTTTGAGTAAAACGGATCATTCTTTTAATCGCGTGAAAATTTTTGTGAATCGTTCACATTTTTCCTTGTACTTAATTTGTTTTTATATTAATTTGTCTATATTCGTTTGACTATATTTCTGCAGATTATGTTAATTTGTCCAATGTTTGGATCTGCTACATGCATTACCAATATTCTTTCTCATTCAAGTCATACATGAATAAACATCGTATTTTTATCACCATAAGAAGTGTTCTGTAGAGAATCCGAAATTCCAACTCGGTTATCATGACACAAGTGGTCCTTGTGAGGGAATATAGATAGCATTAATTCCTCTCTGGTGACGATTATTCAATGATCTATCTAATTGTCGTTCAAGGGTTGTATCTAAAGGAGATTTTGTCTAGCCATGAAACTCCTTTGAATAGTCATTTGACATCAGTACGACGTTTCACAAGGTCTTAAATCATTCTTTTTATCCGAAACATAAACTTGATATTTTTAAATGCAGCAGATCTTGTCACACTTGTCAAATGAAAAGAAAAAACCAATCAGATGATACCTAAGGCTCATTATGCAAACTGCTTCTTCATGTGATGAGCCATTCAGGTAAACAATGGTGGACTGTGTCGCGCCCTTACCCAAGACCACGTCAAGCAACCAATACCTGTTGTCCATAATATGTGCGTATGCATGATTTCAAGAGAAAATTCATTGGAGTATTATTAAATAAACCATAATAACATTTTTGATAACTATTTTTGCACACTTGTTTGCCTTTCATAATCGGTCCAGTCAGGTCAGTGTAAAAGATTATGTCCAATAAGTTGTGTATACATTAGTCATTCGATCGTTTAAATCTTCTGCCTATCACCTTGAATGTCAAGGGGCTTTAAACGATTTCATCATACTTTGAAAAAGAATACAATTTGTTAATATTACTTTAATACAGGTAAGTATTTGGATGAAGTTGTTCATTTACATGTTTGCCTTAGGGAATCAATTTGGGAATCATATGGCTTTACTCCTTTAGAACTTACGTTTGAACACAATTTAAGTGGACTATTGAAGTTATTAAAAGAGAAACTTCCTTCCAATTAATATTCAAGATTATTGTTTTGGCTGTCTGTTTTCAGATATTAGTTGTCAAATGCTTATAAATTAACATAAAAGAGATACAAAGAAATGGTGATGTAACGTGAATATGATTTCTAACGTAGTTTTAACAGTTTTTCAGTCACATCGCTGCGATGTCTGCAGTGTGGCAATTTATAGTGATGTCTAGCACTGGGGAATCATGCTGCAGATATGTATGTAACACGATGTCCCATCCAGTCACCTGATCATGACACCAGGCCAATCAGTCCTAACACTAACATCTTAATGCTGAGCACCAAGCGAGGAAGCTGTCAGTATCATATTTTCTAAGTCTTTGGTAAGATTCGACCGGGAATAGAACCCATGACCTCCCGCAGCCGAGGCGGTCGCGCTAACCACTAGGCCACCGGAGTGAAGTTGTTAGCCTGGTGATTGAGTTATGTCTATCTTGCACATACCTCAGAATCCTTCTCGATCTAATTACATGGTCCCTAAACATTTCGAAACTATTGAAATCCCTTAATTATATCATTACAGCTCACGGGAGCCGAACACAAAAGCATCTTTGTCATACAAAAATATGTTAAAGGAGCATTATGGTTGAGGTAACCAACATACTTGCGCCTGTCCACCACAGTAGGCATGTAAGCAGATAATAATGCACCCTGGTTACTCTAGGGTCACTGCAATCTTCGGAATTCAGAAATATAAAACAGTCTGGACAGAAACATTCACATTCACAACCAGAAGACTAGAGTGAACGAAGACAATTGTTATGTGAATATCAGCACTTGCTTTTTGATGTTCCAGCGCGAACAAATAAACTTCACCATAAATATGAGGTTGTAGACTTTACAAATGTTAAACTGCATTCATATGGGATGAATTGTCTCAATCAGGAATTTTCGGAAAACGGAACTCAGTATTTACTGGATAATTTATTGTATAAAACCAAGTAAAAGTTACTTGAATTCATAATTTGTTCTTGTACTAACTCAGATAATACATTCCGCAAATGTAATGACCTTAGAAAAGCCATAGTGCATTCAAAACAGATCGGAAGTGGAAAATATCACACCAAGTTTAATCTTTGAAAAGGATTCTAGCAAGTTCCACTCAAGGAAAGAGCGAAATAAATTTCGGCATTACGCAACTCCAGATGAAGTTGTCAACAAAAAGTGATACCGTTAGCGTGTATTGCATTGTTTAATGAATATTATAACATATAGTATAGATAAATGTTATGCATGCATTGATGACGTCATCGTCAAGACCGTTACTCAAAACTCTTTGATCGACTCAGTGATGCTAATTTGAAAATTAATTTAGGCAAAAGTTACTTTTTCCGTGCATGTCTTACATTTTATGACACAATGGGGAATATGATCATGCTAAAATTGTAGAAGTTAATTTCAAGGCTATGTCTGAATTCCTAATGCCCGTGACAAAAAAAAAAAATAAACAAAAACAACTGATACAAAGCTTTTGGTCATTTGGTAGGCCATTTTTCTCTCTATTCCTTCATCCTTCCCTTTTATCATTCTGTTTTGCACTTGGATTAGACTGGTTTTTAAATGAATAAACTTGCTTGAAAAGCGAGCCTATGATTGATTAGAGAAATGTACTGCTCCTTTTTTGACAGCCATATTGGGCATCATTTTATTGTTGCTATATTTATCTCATGGGGATCATAACCTACATACAGAACAGCTAATGTGTGATCGCTGACATTATCAGTAAATTATCAAGATCTTCCAGCATTTGAGCTATCAAAAATAAGCACAATTTTAATCCCGTATATTTGCCAAATATGAGCACACCCACATGTAATAATCAACGAATGGGTTAGCGATTTCAACGTGTGTGTATGTTTGTGTGTGTGTGTGTGTGTTTAGATGTGTATATGTGATATAGACAACGAATGGTATAGCGATTTCAACGCGCGCGCGCGTGTGTGTGTTATATCCAATGGAATTGCAAGAAACCTAAATTAGAAAATAAAGAAAATATTTACTGACACATTGCATGTTTTCCCATTGAATTAATTGCAAAGCAAAATGAACCGTGTATATTAATGGCCTCGCACTATGCAAAACCGACTTTATTATCAATATTTCATTATTGACATTTGAGATGAATCAATCTATTTTTAAACCATTCTTTCTAGCAATAACCAGCTCGATAGTCTTCAAACTGCTATAAGAAGCATTATGATTTACCAACGATGCTCTGTCGATATGAAAAGGAAAATAAATTAAGTACAAAGAAAATAGGATTTTACGAAAAAAAACCCTCAACTTAACTCCCTGTTTTGCTTTTGATCCCCAGAGACTGAAATAATAATGTACATCTTTGGCAGGATAAAAATAATGATTTCTAAAGATGATTATATCTGTTATTTTTGATCTTATTCTCACATTTTTTATCAATATTAATTTTCCCTTTGCGGCGCTTTTGAAATTAAACTCACACCACAAGATCATCACCTTTAGCTCTCCGAGCGAGATAGAATTTCCTTTCTTGTGATGTTTCGCTAAATCAAGTTATTACGATACTATAGCCATGAATTAAGTAATAGAAAAAAGCGAAACTAGCAAGATTATTAAAATTAACAAATAATTTATTTCTTCAAGCTATAATGTGAAACTTTAACAGGAATTTACAGTGTTGTCTATTAAATTAAAAAAAACGTAAATGTTATACAACACATTCAAACGTTTATAACGTCCCGGATGGATTCAAATATTTAATGTGCTGATGAACCAATAGACTTGATTGTTCTGATGTAGCAACGTTCTTGTAATATCACAATCATATAATCCGGATTTTTTTTGTATGAATTTACTATGACCGCAAAGTAGTATTTTAGACCAAAATGTCAATGATCACTTTGTAATTCCAATGAATAATTTAATAAACGATGTTTCTAAAATTATATAAGAGCAATATGGTAAATAATTTCACAGATTGAACTTGAAAACTGGACCAAGAAGCTGCTTTACTAACACTATACATATAAATCTCACCTGACCTAAGACAAAATAGAATTTCCTAGCTGTGGATCAATTTCAACAGAACATTCCATCATAATATACGCAATTCTATCTAGCTCAAGAGTGGTTCACCACGTTCAGAGCCAAACCTTTGTGTAGGTCAAGCTTCACAATCCCTTTTAGATAAAATCTTGATTGGTCGAATTGGGTCTTGTGATATCATAGGAAGGCCGGGAGCAGGCAATGCAATTTCGCATAATGAGACCAAACTCTCTTCCCACAAAGAAATAGCCAAAGACTGGTCACTGTCACTTTTTCTGATTGTTAATTGTTTTGTATGTGCTGGTTGTCATTCCTGAGAACAACCACCATCATCTCAGGTTTGAGACTGTCACAATTCTCATGCTAGTCAAATTCGTTTCTTCCCGCCATTTGCGTCATTTTAAAGGATCATTTCGCTGTTTTAAAAGTAATGTGTCCTCATATTTTCCATTTTGTTGGAAATGTCGAGTACAATAGTATGTTAGTCAATTCCCGACAAATACACGAACATATTATCATCACTCGCAAACTGGTCCCTGGCTTGCTTTTTTTGCGTCTCTTGTTACCATCAAGTGGGTGATATAACCGTATTTCTAAGCGATTACCATTTTTATAAGAAAGGAATGGATGCGGAGAAACACAACGTTGCCTGATGTACCGAAAATTACTCTTGAAAAACTCTACAGAACACACACAAGAATGATGATTACCCTTCGTCAACCAAGATCATGAGTTACGGTCCTTCAATATTACTTTGATTATATTCGGGAATATTTATTTAGCCGAACAATCTTCATTAAACGAGAATTTTCACATCCATAACCTTGTTTGAGAGCGCCCAGACTTTGTGTGTGATTCACTCGCGTCACTTCAGTGATTTTGTGTGGTATATTTGCGTTTAAAAGACGCATAAATGGATAGGTGAGCTCCCCAAATTAATAACCCTCACCCCACCCCCAACACAACCTCCACCGCCGCCCCCAAGCGCATGCAGAAAATGAATCTTAGACCTATGGATGACGCTCTTTTATTTTATAAAATGTAGCGGTTATTTGTTGCATTAGCTATCTTACATAACCTATACCTTCTCAAAGCATTGATCGTACAAATTATGTGTTAGATTGGGAGAATGGTAGTGTCAAACTCATCTATTTACGTATTCATTTTCTATGCATATACTACTGTGAGTGATTCAAACTTTCAAGTTGAAGCTCTAACATTGATCTAATTATCTATAAAACGGGCATACTATATATTACGACGACAAAGTCTTTTATCTTGATGTGTGTGTGTGTGTGGGAGTGTGTGTGTGAGAGAGAGATAATTAATTAACAATTAGTATAAGATAACAATTTAGTGCATTTTGAGACAACTGTTTTTCTTTATAACAGTCGTCAGTATCTCAAATACAACCTCCATTAGTTTATCAGATGTCATTGATTCCCAGTTCTAGAAAAGGAATCACTGTAGAAAATGCTATTTAATTTTCAGAAGAATCGTCAATAAAACAAGACTCGATCTTGCGAGTTTGTCAAAGAAAATTTCCTTTATCAATCAGTTAGGTCGGCATCCATCGGATGTAATAAACTATGTATCGGACCTTTATAAGTCCCGAACATGAACTCATGTCATTTGCTGTTAATGATATACCTCAACATTTTGGAATATAGAATAATTTAAAAATGTTGCTGATGTGAGTACTTCGCCAACGACACTGGGTTTTCATCAGAACCGAATGCAGAAACAGGAAGCAAAATACAAGCAGCCAAATCATATTGTCAAAATACGCAAAATCATGAACAGGGCAGAAGAAAACGTGTACTAAACCAAGAAACCAAGAATAGATCTTGTCTGTATAGAAGATCTCAAATAGGTAATGTTTTAATATTGAATTTATGAAACGAGTTGAATAATGTCCAGGTTTTGCAAGCCTTCAACTGGTAAAAGTATATTGTACTGTTTCACAAACTATAAATCAACGATAAAAGCTTCCATCCTATTAAACAGAACATTTTATAACAACCAAATCAATTTTCAAAACGGAAGGATCAAATGTAATGTGATGTGGCTACATTGTTTGATACGGCACAGAATGCAGTTGGCCTACGGTAGAGTACATATTTACAATAAAATGTCACTGTCAGAAGAATCCTTACATTTTTGCGATTTTCATGTGAGATAGGATTACTGGAAGCGAAAATTCCTACATTTACTGCAATGCATTTGTGACCTGATTTTTGCAGTATTTGATTTGGAACAATAGACTACAGAAGACGTCAACAAATTTCTTTACTTGTTGGATTTACATCCCATATATACTACATAACGATGCTGTGGTTGGACAAAGTTCTGTCAGTTAGGAGACCCATTTATGTCCA